GTCAGTAGGTAGTACTATACTTACAATAGTTCTACTGACACAAATGCATTTTTCTAAAGTTATCTCATAGTACTGAGGTCAAGAAAGTTCCTGCGTGGGGACTGACATTTCAATTACCTCAGCAAACTGTAATCATCAGAATTGCAAGCCAAAGACGTATTTATCAAGTGCTCAAGTTTCCAAATTAGTCACCTAATTGTCACAGTGGAGTTCACTCCTTTTGGAGGCCATCGTCAGCTTGATCATCCTGTTACATGTGGAAACATCAAATGTTACTGACATAATCAAATAATTACCTGAATTAAAAGTTATATATTTTGAATAACCTGCTTCCTTGAATTGTGCTCCAGAAATAGTAAATGGTATTGAAGAGAAAGGAAGAAAGTTCTTAAAACATTCTATGTTAAATAAAACTTTGTTACGAATGTTAATTGCGACGGCAATCAAAACATTTGTGAAGCCATAATAACAATTACCTTTCCATGTAAACAAACCACAATGAAGCATGACATAATCTCACCCAGTTTGAATGTAGAATCCTCATCAACAGTAAGCCATGTTTTTACTTATTGGCCGTCTAAAAGAGATTCTAAAGTAACGTTTTGAGTTTTAGCCCTCCGTCAGAGCGAAGAAAATCACTTATGAATGTCAATCAAATTAAGAATAATTAACGTATCATACAGTTCCAAACACTCATGCAAACTTTGCTTGAGTGTTGAACCACGAAATAATTTACAGCGATCATTTCACCATTAATTTGCGTTATTTTGTCGACGACAGTGCCTTCACCTTCAGAATACTACTTTTAAATGCACGTTTATCTCCCAGAGTCAATGTTAGTAGAACTTTTGGGCGAGTTTTTGTAAAAAAAGTGGTCTATTATGACAAAACATGGCGTTTTTTGTCGTTTTCAAGCGGTAAACCTGTTTCGAGCGGTAAACCCGCTATTCCCCGTGGGTAACCACTAAATACTGGTTCAACACGGTATCTTAAATTGCGAATTTACTGCGCCAGGGTTTTACGGATGTATAGAAGCTGCACTTTGGTGCCTGTTTCGTGAACAGATAACATGATAAGTTTATCATCATCAACATTTGGTTTAGTGAAGAGCCCTCGTCATGATGAAAATTATCGTCGCACGCATTTATCAAAGGGATGAATTAGCGCTAAAAGTTACGGGTCTCAAAGTGCTTGGTTTCTGTGTTTATAAATTGAATACACTTCACTCTCAAAGTGCATCCCAGCAAAAGGGAGTACAATGATATCTACGGTATGACGGGGAAACCTTAGGAAAAGCGGAGGGTGAGTTATAATCGCTCCCACGGAAAGCAGTGATACGTCTAGAGGCTGATGTCACTTTTGAGGAACGTTTTTGTTTTAAATTATTTTTATGCGGGGGAGTCCAGAATCAGTGCAAGTCAAGTTTAGTGCGATTGCAATTAAGGTCCAGTTTACTATACTCTCCGAGAACTTTGAGTAGGACTACAGACTTAACAGACAGAATTAAAGTCATGCTGCAGTCCATTCTTCATTGGAAGAAATTTCCAGACAACATCTCCAAATTATTTCTAGCCAAAAAAAAAAAGGAACGAATGTTTTCCGCCCACACTACAACGGTCGTCAACGGCGGCAGACAGATTTGAATGGACCTTGATCATGTAATTACCAAGAGCTTAGTTAAACCGCCAAAAAATTGAAAGAGCATTGATGTTAGTTTTTTCACTAGCTCGGAGAATTTGTCTACTAAAAAACCAAGTAAATTTTTGGAATCGCATGTCATTTCTAAATAAACGCTCTGATACTGTTAAGAGGTTTCAAGGAACCATTAAGTGGCACTGTGGAGAAAATTTCTGACTGCCGGGCATTTAGTAGCGTCGACAACCGAACAATATTACAACCTCGAAGAATTTGTCCACCAAAAGAGCAAGATAATTTTTGGAATCGCTTAACAATTCTAAGCAATCATCTGATATTCCTACGAAGTTTGAAAGAACCTTAATTTCGGTGGAAATTTTGTGAGAAATTCTGTGAGAAATTCTGACTGCCGGGCATTTCGTCTTCTTGAGAGGTCGTTATCAAAACATGGAACCTCCATCCATCTAAAACCACCTAAAACCACCTGAAACCACGTTCAGAATACTATTTTTATCCTTTTGAGGCATTTTTGTGACAATTTTGTTGACAAATACGCACGGGAAATTGTTGTCTTGTTTTGCAGGTTCCCATCAATAGCGAAAACCAGCACTCTTAAAATTTAAATCACTGTTTGCAACATTTGCCCATCCAACGGCTCGCATGAAAGTATTGGAAGAACACAAAGAGGGAAAAACACAAAGAAAATTGTTAGCACAGGAGCAGCACCAAGAGCCTTAGGGCTTTTCGAGTAATACATAGACTACGTTTTCGAAGTCAGTGTTTTCGAGGTCTGCTTTTTTCAACGTCTGATAGAGGTCAACAGAACACCTAGTAGATAGTGGGAAATTTTGATGAGGTTGCGCAATATAACATCAGGGGTGAGGTGTTTCATTTATACGGACGCCCGCACGGTGTCAAGTCAAAACTTCACTCTCAAAGTGCATCCCAGCAAAAGGGAGTACAATGATATCTACGGTATGACAGGGAAACCTTAGGAAAAGCGGAGGGTGAGTTATAATCGCTTCCACGGAAAGCAGTGATACGTCTAGAGGCTTACGTCACTTTTGAGGAACATTTTTGTTTTAACTTATTTTTATGCGGGGGAGTCCAGAATCAGTGCAAGTCAAGTTTAGTGCGATTGAAATTAAGGTCCAGTTTACTATACTCTTAGAAAACTTTGAGTAGGACTTCAGATTTTTAACGAATGATTTGTCAAACTTATTAGAACGAAAGAATCTATGGCGCGGGACTATTCAGATAACAACTGAAGTCGAAAATTTCGATATGAACTATTAATTAAAGTCATGCTGCGGTCCATTCTTCATTGGAAAAAATTTCCAGACAACGTTTTCCAAATTATTTCTAGCTAAGAAAAAAGAGGAACGAATGTTTTCCGCTCACACTACAACGGTCGTCAACGGCGGCAGACATATTTGAACGGACCTTGATCATGTTTTTACCAAGAGCTTCGTTAAACCGCCAAAAAATTGTAAGAGCATTGATGTCAGCTTTTTCACTAGCTCGGGGAATTTTTGAAATCGCATGGTTTTTCTAAACAAACACCCTGATTCTCTTTAGAGGTTTCAAGGAATCATTTAGTGGCGCTGTGGAGAAAATTTCTGACTGTCGGGCATTTAGTGTTTACGTGACCGTGCCTGACAGTCTGATCAGAAGCGTCGACAACCCAGCAACATTACAAGCTCGAAGAAAAATCGCTTAACAATTCTACGCAATCATCTGATATTTCGGTGGAAATTTTGTGAAAAATTCTGACTTCTGGGCATTTCTTCTTCTTGAGAGGTCGTTATTAAAACATGGAATGACCTAGATCCATCAAAACCACCTACAACACCTAACACCACCTAAAAGCACCTGAAACCACCTAAAACTACCTTTCAAATACTATTTTACGATTACTATTCCGATTTTAGTTCTTGGTTTACCCCGGGTGCCATAGGCTTTTCATGCGCGTTTTCCGGTTTCGGTTAGTCTTTTTTTTGACGCGCGAAAAAAGCTTCTGGAAAGGAGCGCTGTTCCTTTAATAGAAGGCGGCTGCTGACCAGTCAATGTCTCAAGAGGGTCGCAGGCTAAAGTATTTTCAAAAATTATTGATTGTAGGTGGTTTTTAAGTTGTTTTAGTTAGCTGTAGGTGGTCTTATGTGGTTATAAGTGGTTTTAGGTAGGTCATTCCATGTTTTAGTACTTACGTTTCTGGAGACCGTGTCCGGCTGCCGGGAAGTTAGTCCGTTTTCAACTTGTTTTCTGTCCCCAGAGTCCTAAAATCTATTTTAAAATGCATTTGAAAACTTTCAACACAAGTCCCATTTCACTCAGCGTGGTGCAGAGAGGGCTCTCGGGAAATTTTGTGATCCTCTCGTTTCAAAATACGACATCTGTCTTATTATACAGGAACATCGTCTAGTAAATTTTCTTGTATATTTAGAAATCTCTCAAAACCTATTCGCTCGTGCAATAGATATGGCTTGCAAATAGCAAGGAACGGCAATATTAGCGGTGTCTTGGTGAATTCCCGTATAATGAGACAAAGTTGCAAGGTAAGCTACACAGAGTTGCAGCTTCCTCAAATTGTTATCGCACAACCACTTGTAAACGTAATACTTTCCACACGAAATTGTCAGTACGATTCCATCCATTTAGATTGTAATTACAAAGCCGATAATAGCGCTGTGTTGACATTTTTTATATGTATCGTTTAGCTAAAAGCTTTGATTGAGTGGGCCAGCTCACAGGAGATGTTATGCAAAACGCAGACTGCAGACTGCAAACTGTGCAGACCGCGCAAACTGTGCGGACCGCGCAGACCGTGCAGACCGTACAGACCGTGCAGATCGCGCTTTGTTGGCTCCAGAATTTCGACTGTTTCATTTCACGAGACACTGACAAATTCATTCATGACCTATCACGCAATCGACTTCGATAGGTATCCAATTTTACAATATTGTGCGATTATTTTCAGCTTGAGAAAAAAATGACGTTTTCTCGCTTATGAAATTTTATTTTACGCCTCAGTGGACGTGAAATGAAAGTAAAAAAAAATTGATTTATTTTTATGAGTTTTATGAGTTGAAACAAAAACAAGAGTAGCAACCGCTGTCACGCAAACTATGCCAGGAAAATTGAACGTTCATAAAAAGTAGAGAAAGGAAAACTCGACACTCTTCGAGCACAAAGCTAATTTAATGACGGTTATTTACCATTTTGTTTTAAGCTATTATTGGATTTTATGTAAGTTTACAACTCTTAGAGGGCAAGTTGGTTCTGAAATCCTGGAACAACATGCACAGACATTTGGGCATTGCGTTTAACATGCTAATAATGGCTATGTATTTTGTAGGTCTCAAGTGATGGCACCAAAAAGCGGTTACATGAAAATCTCTGGTGATAAAAATGAAAAAGTCAGTTTTGTATCTTCACTTTTTTTTCGTTGGATGAACGAAGTCCTTAAAAAGGGCAGTCAAAGACCTTTGGATCAAAATGACTTTTTACCCTTGTCAGACGAGAACTCGGGCCGTTTTGTCACCGACAAGCTTCAGAAGATCTGGGAGAGCGAGAAACATCATTGCAAGGTGAATGGGATAAGGCCCAAACTTTGGAAAAGCGTGTTTGATATGCTTTCTGCCAAAGATGTTATCATCATTTTGACGGGGAATATATTGTGTACAACTTCTCGCCTTCTCTTTCCACTGTTTCTCGGGTATCTTGTTTCTGAGCTAATGTCAACTGAGGTAGAGAATACTCATCGGCTCTACGCCTGCGCATTAGCTATGTGTCTCAATGGTTTGATTGGTGGTCTTGGTATGCACCAGCGAGACTACAGATGTGAAATATTGGGGATCAAAATAGGAAGCGCCCTGAGGGGACTGGTGTACCACAAGGTAGGCACGAACACCCCAGATTAAGCCGAACAAACTTGAACACAAGTATCTATCCGATATAGAATGATTTTTTCTAGAAATCTAATCGACTGCAACTGGCTTATGCCATGGAGACCTAGAAGGAGAGGGATATTAAACATCGTCGCTGGTGGCTGCTTCTGCGAGAGCAAGCAATTCTGCTCACCAACAAAAGAATCGAAAAAACAAACAGTTATTTAGCCTGCAGTTACGTAGGCTACAGATACCATAACGTATACGGCCGCGCTTCTGAACAAGACTCAAGATGGCGCCTGAGTTGTCCCTCTTTTTACACATTTAAAGATAATTTGGTAGAGGTTTGGTTACTCTCGTTTCGAAACGCATTCATGGATATCTATATGCAGGAGATTAAGCTTAGATGGTTTTTGGAACTTACTTCGTCTTTAATGTCTAACCTGTACTTTCTTTCAGACGCTTCTACTCAGTAAGCAGACGTTACATAGATTTACTGCAGGACGCTTATTCAATCTGATATCCAATGATGTTAAAAAAATGGAAGAAGAGACAGTCATGTTTTTTTCCTCGGCCGTTTTCGCAGTCCCTGCTTATGCAGGGGCAATATTCCTTATCTACAATTTGATTGGTTGGCAGGCTGTTACGGGTGTGTTCCTCATGTGTATTCTCATGCCATACTTTGCCGTCTTGTCTTACGCTAATGCTAAGTTGCGCTCGCGCACAGCTACAGTATCCGATGAGCGAATCTCCCTAATGAATCAAGTAGTTTCCGGGATCCGCGCGGTCAAAATGCATGCGTGGGAGGGCGAATATGGACGAAAGATAAAACATGTGAGAAGGTAAGGTAATTATAATTTCTATTCAGAAGTAGGCTCCAACAACTAGCTTAATTCATTCCCGTAGTTGTTGACCCAAATTATTCAAACCTCGGAAATAGATGACCACAAATCTGTTTTGTCTCCACTGAAAGCTTCATTAGCTAGGCAGTTTAAACATGCCACCCCCCCTCCAAAAGAAAGTCTTTGGACCGCTGTATGAGCCTATCAGAATACCTCTTTTCACAAAAAATAAGTGTCTCTTGTAAGCCATATCATAACCGAAGGACTGGGCGGTCAGTAAATACTAGGTAGATAGTGTTAAAAGTGCACTCTGAAAATGATTGGCTACTCGAACTCCGAATCGCCTTTGCAATTCACTTTCGAGCGACTCGCGCGGGAGTTGCGCCCGAAAATATTGTGATCGTCTTTACCTCAGTGTTGGTGAAAGGGGGCGGATATCACCTCTACTTCAGATAATAATCGATCATTATTATAGGTAGAACATCTCATCTAGTCTAACTTGTCTTCAAGTTATTATTATTTTTTACACGCTGTTATAAGGTGCGCTTGCTGCCCGCTCACCTCGTTTATATTTTAAATCAATGAGAACACTGACGACGAGCTGGTTCGACAGAATGCCCACATAACTTATGATAACCTTCTACCTTCAGAAATGAAATCAGGGTCATTTCGAAGAGGACGACCATTCAGTCAAGTATCGATGCCTTGTTATACAGTGCAACGCCACTGGCCACTCTGGTGTCAGTAATTACTATGGTACTTACTGGTCAGACCCTCACGCCCGCCAATGTTTTTATGCTGCTGTCGTTTATGGGTGTTATAAAATTGAGTGGCATGTTGAATATGACATATGGTTTAATGGTAACGTGTGACGCCTACGTTTCGCTCGGAAGAATCGAAGAATTCCTTCTTTTGGAAAATCTGTTTAAAGCCACGGAGAGTGATGAAAGCAACGAGCCCCAACAAAAAGCGAAAATTGCCTTGACTAACCAAAGTCCCAGTTACTTGAAAAAAGAAGAGGAAAATACGGAGAAAGTTTCCCTCTCTCGTCAAGCAACAGAAATAGGTCCCACTATACTATGTGTGTCAAATTTAAGCTACGCAAAAACGCATCGTGAAGATGAATTTATTCTTGAGGATATCAACTTCTTTGCACCTTCAAAGAGTTTAACAGTCATCACCGGACCGGTTGGAAGTGGCAAGTCTACTCTGCTCTCAGCGATCGCTGGTGAAACTTCGAATTCCAGTGGGACGATTGATTATCAAGGCTCTGTCATTTACTTGCCTCAGACAGCTTGGGTGTTCTCGGGAACGATAAAAGAAAACATTCTGTTTGGTCAACCCAACGAGGAGTCCAAGTACGAAAGAATAATCGACGTCTGCGCTCTGAAAGAAGACTTCCAGCGGTTACCTGATGGTGATCAAACAGTTGTTGGAGAACGCGGCGAGGTTCTGAGTGGAGGACAACAGGCGAGAGTAAGTTTAGCTCGTGCAGTTTATGCTGAAGGAGATATTTATCTATTGGATGATCCACTGAGTGCTGTCGATTTTAAGGTTGGCCAACACATCTTTAACAAATGCATTAAAGATCTCCTAGGGGATAAAATCGTTCTGTTTGCCTCTCATCAGCAACAGCACATGGAAAATGCTGATCAAGTGATTGTGGTTTACAAAGGGCGTGTTCTTGACAAGGGAAGCTTTCCTGAGCTGCACGAAAAAGGTGTTATCAATTCAATTGTTGACCCGCTCTATAACGCAGCTCTGAAGGACAAAACGGACTCATCTAAGCCGTTCTGCTGGGAAGATATGGAGGAGCACGATGATGCTGAAAAGTGCCGGATAATACATCCCCTGACCAATGAGGCGAAGAGTTTAAAGATAGCAAAGGAGGATCGTACAATCGGAGTTGTGACATCCAGACTTTATTGGGACTATTTCAGAAGTGGAGCACATCCTTTGATGATAACTGGAATGGTTGGTTTAAGTCTCATTACTCAAGGTAAACCTATTGTTAGAGTGAGTTACAAACCTTGGGTTAAGCCCTAATTTCTTTTATTCTATTTCGTGCAAATCATTTCGCAATGACTATGCTTTTTACCAAGAATACGCGTTGTTTTGAGATTAGATGGTAGAGTTAAGAGACACTGCAGAAATTTCTGACCATGTTCTTGATATCTCACTTGCTCGTACAAGTGCGACAGAGCGCGAGTGAATGGCGAGTCACGCCTCCTCGAGTTTGCCTTGCACTTGTCTCCACTCGCCTGAAAAAAAAAAAACACTCGCTCTACAAACTAGCTATATGAGACAAAATGTAGTTTCTAACAATATTTTTACGTAACATGGTTGACCGCTTCATTTTTTCTGTGTCGTTGTGGTGTTTACAAAAACATTCCTAGGACACTAACGGTAGTAACTAATCCAGGCGAGTTGTCTCTAGTCCCAATAAATCTTACATTGTTCAACCGAGTGATGATATAGAAATACATTTCAACCACTACGTATTAATCATATTTCTTTCAGCCATCATTGCTGCTCCTGACTTGTGGCTCTCGTTTCTTGCAAGGCTAGATCCAGAGGATCAGAAGAACGAGACAAATCTATTTGTCTTCGCCTGTCTGGTTGGCGCGTGTTTCACAGTTACTATCGTTTGGGCTTATGGATTCTTGAATGTTTGTCTAAAGTGCGCCGAGCGTCTTCACGATAAAATGGTTGTGGCCATTTTACATGCACCTGTCCTGTTCTTTGATTCAAATCTAGTGGGAAGAATCCTAAATCGCTTCTCCAATGATATTGGCTGCGTAGATGAGATGTTACCCAAAACATTCCTGACGACAATGCAGATGTTCTTAGTGATATTTTCCCAAATTCTGGTAACAGTTGCCACAAATGTTTGGCTCATATTTCTTGTTGTTCCAATTTACATGTTGGTCGGTTTTCTATCCAATTATTACTTGAAGACTGCCAGAGAACTAAAGAGGTTAGAGTCGATATCCCGAAGCCCAGTGTTCGCTCATTTTTCGGAGACCCTGATAGGACTAGACACGATTCGTACGAGAGGAAGACAGACAGATTTTGTGGATGCACTCTACAGGTATGTTAGAGACATTGATTCAGTTTGTGGTGTCAGAGCCGATAAATGCACAGGGCAAAAATGACTCATAATCGCTCGTTTTCTGCGAGCTATTTTCTTTAATTTGCCGGCAATACGCGAAATGGCATGACGTTTCTTTTGTAATCCTATCCGGTACGTGCTGAGACACTGGTCAGCAAGTGGACCTTTAGGTACAAGGCACGGTGGCGAAACGAAGCTATCCGAAAGAGGCACGAGGGGTATTACCAGTTGTGAGACTACAGTAATTGCTCTGTGCGGTTTTCATCCTTCTGATAGGGTTTCAACAGTCGTATAATATGAACCGTCAATCAACAAGATCGCGTGACGTAGAAATTTCACAATTAGTCAAAACTATGACAAATGTATGGAACGTATAAGCGATGTTAGTTTCTTTCTCTAATTTTGCCACAGTTTTGATCAATTGGTAAGAGAACGTCATGTCGTGCAATTCTGCCTTTAATAATACTCGTGATTAAAAAAGTCAGACTCCCGCCTCGCAGTCGTCCCCTTTTGTTAATCACTCGTATGATTACTGGCCGAATTGAACTCCACTCAGTCCTATGACCATTATGAGTTTAATTAACAGGAAGTACAGACGAGTGGCACTCGTCTTCTACTTCTGATAAATGTTATACCTAGCATACAAGATGTAGTTGAGATAGTGAACAATTAAGAACTGGTCTGTTTTTGGCGAATTTACCATTTTTAATGGAAAAGTATTCATATCGTTAAGAAACTCGGCTCTAGCGGCTCTCACTTCATCTGGACGAATGGAGCATACCTAAGAATGAGATGTGGTTACGGAAATGATCTTTCGGATACTTAGCAAGAAGCTTACGGATGTTCCTTGGAGAGTAACATCTTTTTGAGGGGCTGGGGTGTCGGGCGGAATTTATTGAAGGGCTCCGTTACATTGTCAGGCTAAAGGAGACACTGGTCTCACTTCAGTGTGCAGACCCGATGTAATCTCTTTGAGATTATTTTTGGATTGATTGTCGTAAGGAAAATATTATTTTATAATAACAAGCCAATCAAAACAAAAGAAAACATCACAAGTAGTGACAGAGGACTTAACTCAAAAATAAGGAAACGGCAATGAACGCTGACAAACGCGTTCGACCAACAGGCGGTTGGTTTTGCGCAAGTTTGCCGGACCAATCACCTATCAAAGTAATTACCAAGCTGTTACAACCCGGTTTATTTTCGACAGTCAACTAAAAAAGAACTCCATTATCAAAACTTATTGTGATAAAAACTTTTCCCTTCAGATATCAAGATGTTCATAATCAGGCGTATATTATGGTGATGGCCAGCGGTAGGTGGCTCGGTGCACGTTTGGATTGTCTCGCTTCCTTTTTAGTCGGTGCAGTTGCTCTGGCTGCAATCTTGGTATCTCAGGATGCCGGTGAGCTCAAGATTCTTAGTAAAATTTTTGAGTCTTTCTATGTAAAGTAAGAATCTATATAGTCGTGTATTAACACAGCATGAACAACTGAATAATAAAATAAGTGTGACTATACGTGCTCTCTCATGAACGGGTGGTTTCTAAACACGACAGGAACGTGAGAGTCAACTCGGGTGGCTTAAGTGCAGAGCAAACTTTCAAGTGTCTTCTATGATTCAAAACAGGAAACTTGTGCTGATAACTCCTCTGCACCTACTTAGCTTGGAGTCAAAACAATGACATTGAGAAAGATGTAAAAAAAGACGCTTTATTTATTCCCTCCCATTAAGTGACTACCTGGTCTAGGCTAGGTAACCTAGCCTTGTAAAGCTTTCGTTATATGTTTTGAGCTATCGAGAAAAAACAGGTCCGGAATTTATAGACTTAGGTTCTAATGTTTCTTTCCAGCTTACGCTGGTCTCGCTCTTGTTTACGTCATCCAAACTCTGAGCGCGACTCAATACGCTGTTAGAAAAACGTCTGAAGTGGAAAACTATATGACATCAGTTGAGCGAGTTATGACTTACACCCGACTCGATCAGGAGCCTGGATACGAAGAAGAACGAACACTGCCAAAAGACTGGCCTCGGAGAGGAAGTATTGTGTTGAGAGATGTATCATTGACGTACTATCCGGGGGGACCTCAAGTGCTGAAGAACATCAATCTTAGCATCAAAGCAGGAGCAAAGATTGGAGTTGTCGGCCGTACGGGAGCTGGGAAGTCATCTTTTGTAGCAGCTCTCATGCGGATGCCTGATGCTGATGGAAAGATAATCATCGACGATGTTCCAATTAAAGAGATAGGCTTCCAACAGGCCCGACGAGGTATCTCGGTTCTTGGCCAAAGTCCTGTCCTTTTTAGCGGATCTTTGAGGAAAAATCTCGATATTTTAGACAAGTTTCGAGACGCTGAATTATGGCAGGCTTTAGAGGATGTGCAACTGAAAGACTTTGTCGAGAGGCTTGAGGCCAAGCTGGATCACGAACTGCTGGAGCATGGTGCTAATGTCAGTGTTGGAGAGCGGCAGTTAATTTGCTTGGCTCGTGTGCTGCTACAGCGAAGTAAAATCGTCGTCTTGGACGAGCCAACTGCGCATGTTGACCCAGACACAGAGCAGACGATTTGGAATGTAGTGCGGGACAAACTGAAGGAGTCGACTGTCATCACTATAGCTCACCGTTTGAACACGATAAAAGACTGCGAGAAAATTTTGGTCTTGAAAGATGGAAAAGTTAAAGGGTTTGACAATTTTAAAATTGAATCCAAAAAAAAAATAGGACGACAGGTTCAAAAAATTTTCACAACCAATCCATACGGTTAACCTACCTGGAACAATCTCCTTCGTGTACAAATAAGACTAGGTTTGTACTGTGGTAAGAGGACAGGCTTTCCTTTTTTCATTCAAAGATATACTGAGGTTATCATCTTTCCACAAGGTCAGTGGAAATTGAGAGTGAATGAGACTGATAGTGACTGTGTTACTTGGATAAATATCCAAAAGAGGATAAAAAGTAAGACATGGTCCACACAACTCTCTTATTTTTATTTTTTAACCTATAAAGCTGAGGCATTTATATTCTTGCTTTGTGCATTATGTGGACGCCAATTAATTTAACTTTCATGCGTTAAAATACAAAAAATGTTCTCTTCATCTATGTGCCCTAAACATTAGGGGGGAGGAGGCAGGTCAAAGTAAAAACATGAATCAAAATAACAGGGCCCCCATTAATTTCAGTCCTAATTAAAGGAGGATCCTTGCTTCTCCAGATTTCCACCCTTTAAAACTCACATATCTTGAGACAAATTCCTCATATCAGTGTTTAGTTTGGGCATGAGCATTGGTAAGAAACAGAATGCATTAATGAAAGCTTGAGCAAGAGTGTTTAATGTAATCTAAGTAATAATATTACATGTTACATTAACCAACACAGCAAAATTATGTACTCACACAATTCCAAACAAAAGAAGTCAGGTTATAGACTCACCTGCTTCAACTTTGAGGGCTTCGGAACAGAGAAATAAATATGGCAAACAGTAACAATTAATACAAAGTTGAAAGTTTGAAAGCTTAAAGATATACTTTACTATCCTCACGCCTTATGCATCCTAGCAAAGAAAGGGTCAATTACCACCATAACTTCTCTCAAATGTTCATGCTTACAGGAAATCGGTAATTTTTCTCACTACTAAAGTAGGTAGTACCATACTTACAATAGTTCTATTGACACAAATGCATTTTTCTAAAGTTATCTCATAGCATATGACTGTACAGGTCAAGTGGAAACTTCCTGCTTGGAGACTGACATTTCAATTACCTCAGCAAACTGTAATCATCAGAATTGCAAGCCAAGGACGTATTTATCAAGTGCTCAAGCTTCCAAATTAGCCACCTAATTGTCACAGTGGAGTTCGCTCCTTTTGGAGCCTATCGTCAGCTTGATCATCCCGTTACATGTGGAAACATCAAATGTTACTGACATAATCAAATAATTACCTGAATTAAAAGTTATATATTTTTCAATAACCTGCTTCCTTGAATTGTGCTCTAGAAATAGTAAATGGTATTGAAGAGAAAGGAAAAAGTTCTTAAAACATTCTATGTTAAATAACACTTTGTTACGAATGTTAATTGCGACGACAATCAAAACATTTGTCAAGCTATAGTAACAATTACCTTTCCATGTAAAAAAAACCATAATGAAACATGACATGAATAAATTAATCTCACCCAGTTTGAATGTCGAATCCAAAATCTAATTAACTCACTGGTGAATAGGAAAAAGCTTAAAGCATTTTAACTTCTTCTGTCATTCAAAATATTACAAATCAGTTATGCCACCAATTAATCCTTTATCCCCTAAGAGTGACTAGCATCTAATTTCTCCCTATCATTCATTAAAGTCACGAGAATAAAAGAAATGATCACCAAAACACGAAATTGCGTAGCAAACGATCATTGATATTGCTGAAAGAGCAGTATTTAACAAGGAACACTGCTTTATCGGTTTATATCGCATCTACAGTCCAGTGATAGCCTTTTTTGGAAAAGCTGACACGTAATTTCATTTTGAAAGGATTTGCGAAAGCACTGATAAATCATCAGCGAACGCGAAGAGCCTGATTTTCCGGCCTAAGGTTAACACTAGCAACTTCATTTGCCCGAAACTAACAACTGCGGCTAATTCATAAGCAGCCTGCCCAGATAGCCTAACCGGTTTTAAGCTTGTGCGCATCTGCTCGTCTACGATTAATGAAAATGACCTTGCACCTCTTTTTCTCCCTTCAAAAAGAAGCTTGGGTTGCATGAAGTTGGCGGGCCGCTCAATAAATTTTGTCCTTTGTTTTCTCGATCAAAATAATTTGCGCCCTTGTAGATCGAAGAAGAAGCAGTGGAATACGAATACTTTTCACATAATGACCACAATGGCCTTTGAGTTAGTGTTCTTGGAAAGAAGCCTGATAAGCTAGTGAGCAGTCAAGCATGCAATGTAAATTACCTACCTGATGCGGGTTGAAAGATGCCAATTACAAGACACCAGGAAAGAAATCTATACCAGGAAAACTTGTTTACATGCCGCCACGAGACGGACAGTTATAGTTCCCTTCAATTTTTCGACAATTTATCGCCAATTGTACTTCGAGTTTTCTACAATTTTAACAGCAAACAGGGACCTTGTGAATGATTCATAGCACATGTTCCGCAGTGAAATTAAATTAAAACAAAAGGTTTTTCTCTGTTGTGCTTCAGCTCTTTGTAAGAAATTAACTGCAAGTGACATAACGATTTCCTGGAGTTACAAACTCGTAACTCTGACTTGGAGTACGGAAGCAAATCATATTCATAAAATCCATTCATCGAATCTGAAATGACTGACGTGTAATTTTATGAAATGTCAAGAGTGTTAACCAGCTCGTGCAAAGCCTTGGATACTAAATTCACCTTATTACGAAAAAAGAAAAATTAGAAATGTCACACCTCCAGTAATCATCATTTCGGATATGACGTTGATGTTACATTTGATACCAGCATAGGGGCGTCTCTCTAAGTGACACTACTTTTCAGATGAACGAGGGAAGTTTCTTTTCGCTCCTTGCAATAGCTTGTTCTTCAAATGTCTGGCGATCACAGCGTAAGAGCCATCGGGCCAATTATGGCCCCAATGCACAAGTTGGTTCACAGGACTCACAAATTGCAGGCTGGCTACCGGGCGCGAAGCCCTCCCGAACATTCGTTTGGGTGGACGACATTGCGCAAGTAAGTCAAAACCCAACTCTTGCCCCAGATGGCAAAAAGGTCAAGTTCGACCAGAGGCTTTGCGGAGACGCTATGGTGGCGCACCTAAAACGGGAAATTCCCGAAATCACGGCGACCAGGTGAGTGAGACAGTTTTCCATAAATATGGAAAAAAAAAATATTAGTTGGTTGTTCTGGACCGATGTTTCTGGAGCAGCGCTAATCGCATGTTTTTATGTTGTGAATTCCTCAGGGATTCCACCGCAAATCAATGAGAGGGTTGCGCTAGTAAGATAAAGTCTATTTCAAGTCATATATTTCATTTGACAAAACTTAAAACCCTTATTCTACGATAACTTCATTTGACAAGACTTACACCCTTATTTTAAGATAACCTGATGACTAACTTAAAACACTACGAACAAAACAGTCATTAATCAAACACGCCGGCAAAAAATTCAACAATTTCCAGACAATCATCCTAACATAACCACACAAAATTGTAATTCAGTATTATAAACTGATTTGCATCTCAGTTGATGGTACTAAATTACCCTTTTATACTCTCCTAACGACGCAAAACCAAAATTTCTATAGAAACCTATCCCCGTTATTCCATCCACACAAAGTTGAGGATTAAATCGAGATTTATTAAGTCGAGAGATCAATGTGAAGTAGGCTTAATTTTTGTGACTGGCAGTGTCAAGAGGGCAAAATAAAGTGAAATAGCTGACCCGAAGGGTCATTCAAGTGCAGTCCAATTTAGACCGCGGTTTTTGATGATCACTGGACTACAAAATTTCCTCTTCTGTGTTTCTTTTTTTTAATTAATTTGATCTTCCATTCAATGCTGAATATAAGCCCTTGTAACAGTTTTTCAAAAACTTGAGGTTTAGGTGATATTTGATCCCATAGAACACCAACTCCAAGTGTCAATACCAACCAACTAATTAGACAGCCTCTTTCTATGCATGATTATGTATCAAGCTCTCTTTCGTTGCATACTACGCTTTTTTTAAAGAATAGTACAATTTTTCATCAGAAAAAACAATAATACAATAATTACAAAACAATACCATAATAATCTAATAATATTAACTAGATAAGGCATTAATACATTTACTTAGAAAACTTAAAATACTACAATTAATAAAATAAAGTCTACAAGTAGCTTCTATTAATGTTTAAAATGCGTTATAAATACTATTTAAAAACTTAACTAGTTGGGACTCTACTGTCTTCAGGGTTTGATTGTAAGTTCACTGGTTTGATTGCTTTTACATATTATTAATAAGTCATCTTGGTACCTGTGCTTTTTATCTGTAGATACCTTAATTATTACAAAGCAAAGCCAAGTGGAAACCATCAACTGTACAAAGTTGGCAGCAATTTATCTGCAGATAATATTGGAATATTAATTGACTTTGGTAGACATTAAAGAAATTAAAGAATGTCCTCATCATTTCGAAGTTCAGGTCATCAATTTTTCAAACTTCTATAATCAGGATGACCACAAAAATAGTGTGGTCAATATAGCCATGACTTGATTGAAGAAATACAATTTTGAACGGTATGTCTGAGGCGTAACATACCGTTCAAAATTCAGTCATTATGGCGTAACATACCGTTCAAAATTCAGTCAGGGTATTTTCCCTATCGAAAAATTAATTTTCGTGTCGGAAATCAATTAACAGGGTCCGTTATTGTTGGCCTCTTTCAGACCTCCTCATTGTCTGCTATTTTCCGTGTCTGATATTATTTCCCATGTCTGTATTTACTATTTAAATGGATTTCGACTTATCACCGTGCCTAACAAGACTTATCGAGGCCTATAATAACCTACATCACTAATCGAGTGTTTGATCGAGTTTGATTAATTCCTCAATCACGAGTCAATTATCCAGGGTTGACTCCGTCCCAGACCTCCCACGGTACACCGTTGGCTAGGGGTAGTTGTTTACTTTGTTTACAAAAACGATAAGCACCACTTCTTCGCAAGTATTGAAGCAAGCACTGATTTGGAGGTTATGACTGTTGAGGTAGGGTTATGAAATCTCTACTCGTAGTATGCACATAGAATCTAGCCA